CCTAGATGGAGTGCAAGACGGTTCTAAGGGAATGCGATGGGTGCAAAGGGTTGGACTGATGCCTTTTAAGTCTTGGAGGGACTAGCCAAAAACAGCACGATGCTTTTCTAAAACGGTGATAAGTCGGGTCGTCTTCCTCTCAGAGAGTTTGTCACTTATAATGACTTGAGACTCGGCATCGCCATTCAAAAAGGCATAGCATAGGCCTGAAGCTATGGGCTTTAGCTCAATTGGGGCTCGTGACGGCAAATCCGTTTTTGGTAGATCCATCGTTTCTCCAGTTTCATCCTCCCCTTCATTGAATTCTTCGATAGATTCATCGAAAATGGACTCTAGGGCCTTAAATGGAGAAATGGCCATCACTTTCTCAATTGGCTCAAGAACAGGAAGAGGCTCCGTCAAAGAATTGGTTGATTGCAACATAGGGACGGTGGTGGCAATTCTTCCTATTTTCAGATTGAGGTCACCTGTTTCGGGCACATCCAATAGTTTCTCTATGGGATGGCCTATGAGGATGTCGAAATCAAAGATGTCGAACACATGAAAATCTAAGATGACCTCAATACTGTTGTGCCGTATGGGCACTCCAGAGATAATCCCTAAACCTTCGGTAGTAGAGTTTGTGGAAATTCGGAAGGTTTTGACAATTGGTTCCAACAGTCTGTCCCCTAAGCAATTGAATGCAAAGGTTGCGGACATAATATTTGCACCAACAGAGGGATTATATAGAGCATGGACCAAATTAACTCCAATGAGACATGTAATGGTTGAGGAGGGGCATCGGATCTGAATTGCTTCCGATGAGAGCTCTCCTTCCCTTAACCATTCGTTACTCATGATGGTGGTCAACTTCTTCACCGTCTCTTTAAGCATAGCTTTATCGAGAGGATCATTAGAGTTGACCTTGGTCGGTGGTCTCTTCTCGCAGGAATAATTCGAGGTGTTCCCATAATCTTCGAAAAGATCTTCCTCAAATTGGAATGGAATTTCCAAAGGATGAATTTCTTCTTCCTCTGGCTCCTGCGACTGGGATGAGGATTCGGCAGTTGAGTCGGGTTCCGACTCCACACGCAGAGATTCCTCATGGATAATCTCGACCTCCGGGACAGTTTCGCTTCGGCCGAAAGAATTGTTCTCTAAGATCAGATCTAAGAGTACTCTTCCTTCGGCAGTTGTCTTGTGTGCGAACGATCCTCTAGCGGAAATATCAAGATTTTCGACAGATTCCTTGTCTAACTCGTACCGAAAATGTTGCAACAACACATGGTCAGGTAAAGACAAATCTAGGCCAGACTGAGTTAATAGTGAGAACCTAGCCCAGGCTGCACCGAGAGATTCCTTCTCGTGCTATCGGAAAGAGAGGATTGCTAATCGAAGATTAATTACACGGGTTAATGGAAAGAAAGCAAGGCGGAATTTGCACTTTAGCTCATCCCTTTCACCATGGAATTTCTTGACAGACAGAGTGTATCATTGCTTCGCTTCATCTCGAAGAGAAAAAGGAAACTTCCACTTTAGAGTTTCATGCGTCATGCCAACAATGGATAGGCACGAACACACTAGCTCAAAGTCCCGAAGATGGAGGTATGGGTTTTCACCGATACTACCAGAGAAGGTTTTCTCTTGAGCCATGGCTATAAAGCCAGGACTGATTTCGTAGCCATCGGATAGGATTGGTTTTGATGAACATGATGGCTCACAAAGATCAGCCCGAGGAGCAGAAAGGTTTTGAATTGTGGGTTGCTCCATCAAGGAAAGGAATAAAAGAAGAAGAAATAAAAATAAAGATACGAGGATGACCTATACTCAGATAAATTAGCAACCGTTCCCCGGCAACGGTGCCAGAAATGCTTGTTGATATTTCTTACGACCACAGATAAATCCGCAAGTGCACGGAATACCGTTGTAGCACTTCACCTTTAGGTGACCCCTAAAGGATATCGAACTCAGGGAACCTGTGTAATCTACCTAAGACTAAGACGATCCAAGGACAACAACTGATGACAGGTAGGCTAGGCTACAGAGGTCTTTCTATGGTTTTAATTATCTACGCTAAGCAAGGTATTCCCTATCTGTTCCTTCGGGCACCGACCCCTGCTGGTCTGTCAGCGTGGTTCCAGCTATAGCTATATGATGTATCCGAACGTGGAGGATTACTAGGACGGGATTCAGAGCTGTCACCACCTGCCGCCTACCTCTGACAAATCCGTGGGATACACAACAAACAAAGGTAATCTCTAACCTAGACACCACGCCTAAGTTATTAATTACTACTCTAATACTCGCGCAGGAACTTCCTTCTCTATCCAGAGTCCTAGTACTAGAGCACTAGGTATAAATACTAAACAATGAACCCGCAAAGATGGAAATCTATCTTACTTAGACTAAATAATTAAATAACATAAGAAAGGAACTCGAATGCTTACTTTATAGAAGAAGTTCTCCGAACCCGGAGCAGAGTGTACCGACAGCTCTGGTACTCCTCCAGAAATCCTCCTAGAAAGCTACACTCGTTGAGGTAGAAGTCAGATGAGCGCCAAACTTCCGGGCACTCCTCCAGAGCTTCCCCTCACTCTCTACCTTATTCTAATGTACAAAAAATACAATACAGCCTCTTGTAATTCAGCTCAAAGTTGTGTGTGTGTGTGAAGTGAGGGAGATGAGCTTTATTTATAGCCTCCATATGACGGTTACAGGTATGGGAAACGACCAAAACGCCCTTAACCGTCATTGAGACTTCATCAGGAACATACACGTGGAGGGCCAGGATGAGAGGAGGCTGTGGTGGTTCGGCCGAACCACCTGGTTCGGCCAAACCCTAGGCCCCACCTCCTGGCTTCTCCTTTGGCAGGGTCACTGACTGGTGGGCCCTGACGGCGGTTATACCTGTCTTGTGGGCCCTCCAATCCGCGTGCTCACATCTGATTGGCTAGAAGTGTGTTTCCTTGCATGCTGGGTGTGTTTTCTCCTTAAAATACCGTCAACAATTCTTTTACTATAAGCCATTATAGTTAATAAAATAGCCAACATATATAGAAGTATGCAATTAGAAATTTTATGTTTACCATATCAATAGCAAACACACTACTATATTATTACTGGCGATTTTTATTATGTACCAGTAGCGATATTTTTCGTACTGCTGGTTTGGTCTAGTAGTAATATATATGTTGCCGTTTAATTTATTGAATCATCAAATTTCTAAATTGTATGGGGGTCGAGTTCAATGCGAGACTTTTTTGGGTCACATTTAACTACCTCACTATACTGACTAAACTAGCTGCAGGTCCTTAATCTATACTTTCCATAAAGTTAAAACCCACTATAAGTCTAAAACTCAACATACAACTATGCCACATTATCACCATCTAGCAATAATTACATATTTTACCTCATACAAACATAAAACATCATATACAATTTATTTAATTGTACAAATTAACATTCAAGCATATTTAGTCATCACCCTTCATATCATTTGCACAATATTTTAACAAATCTATCTATCACTTTTACAATATTTAACATATACTTATCTTATCAATATGTTTCACATTAAAGCACGGTATCATTTGTCTAATTAACCCTGATGTTTCATTATTTTTTTCCATTTTACTCCTAACTTGATTGTCAAAAAAAATATTGAGAATTGCTTAGTGATTCCCGCAACACAGTGCGGGGAATCACCTAGTATTTCGACGATAAGTGCCTTGATTTGGTCACTTTAGTGGCCACACTGTCGTTAGCAGGGTTGGAATTTTCGGACTGAAATTTCCGAAATTTCAGACCCCTCCGATACTTTTATGTTGGCCGACACTTCTCTTTTTAAAATTTTTTTTCATGAACTTTGGTGATATTTGTTCAAATTTAACTAAATTCTGTTTAAAATTTCAGACCGAAATTTCTAAAATTTCAGTATATCGGTGACCTCCGATCAAATCGGCTAAACCAAAAAAGTAAACCCTGGTCATTGGTGCTGGATGTCACGGCTACCAGTCCTCACCTGGGATTTGGATCAGGTGCATGACTGCAACTTAAGCAGTAGCAGTACACATCATTGGATACAAGATGGATGGCCTAGATCACGCATTGCACTGTTTACATCACTGTAGCAATAAATACTGTAGCACGGAGTACTGTTCATAGGGTTTTTTGACCGGGAATATTGCCAGGGTTTTGCCCAGTAGTTTAAATTTTAGAAATAGAAATATTTACAAAGTTACAGGGGGATATACAAAAGAAAAGAAAAGGTCATAAAAACTTTAGGGTCTGCAACCAATCAGAAACAGATTGTTTAAGAGGATCTTTCATTCTGCACAGATGCATAATAATTTCTTTCTTGAAGAGCAATTTCCATGATTGGAAGGTAGGTTGTATATTTTGGAAAATGAGTCACAGGGTTATTGTAGCTTTGAATCTAAACCGTTGATCGAAAAATGGATGACCAAAGTTAGTGCAGTTTTTAACTTAATGTGACTGCACCTGATCCGAATTCCATCACCTGCATGATAGATTTGGTACCCGGATATAGGAGATCCATCGCTCAATGATATTATTGCTACATACGACATAGTTTGTCACCGCCAAATTTCATATCTACCCTATTACTAGTTGTAGGTCTCGACTAGACGAGCTCTTCAGTGACGGATCAGGCAAAAAGCTGAGACGTGCCTTGAGCTTTTTTCTTTTTTGGTTTCATCTCTCTCCATAGACCATGCTCTCTTGGCTGTGTACATTCCGTTGGATAAATGGATGCTCTCATCTAAGTCACCCAGGTCTTGTGCAAGAAACTGTTACGCCTATCAGGCTACTGTTGTTGTTCTTCCTCTTACTGTGCACTGACTTAGCTCCGAGGTGGACGCACCAAGGCCACTTGCCAATTTGCCATGGTGGAGCGTTGGAATTGCCCTTACATGCTACAAGAAAAAAGAAAACTTCGGTCAAAGCATTAACCATTAATTAGAGTTTACAAACCAACAAACTCATCAGTCATATAGTTGTACCCTCCAAAACCCCCAAAAGCCAATGTTACATCCATCTTCCACTTTTTATAAACCCCTTTTGTGTGTACATGTTCACTACACCACCTTTCTCTCCTTCCCTCTTGTGCTCCTCCTTATCTTCTATCTCTTCTTCTTCCCCTATCTTTTCTTCTAAAGAACATCTGCAATCTCCAGCTTCTTCTGTTCTGAAGCAGTGGCTTTTTGTGGTTTATGCACACCATTGGCAGCTGCTACTGTTTGCTGCTTGTGTTGTCAGAAGCTACCTTATTGTTTCGGTCATCATCGGCGCCATGTCGACGCCGACGGTGCAGATGGTGGCGCCGGCGGCGGCGGTGGTGGAGGACCCGAGCAAGCACTGGACGCGGCACGGGCCGGTGCTGACGGCGTGCCTCGTCGGGATCAACCTGCTCATGGTCCTCCTCGTGTTCTTCTACTTCTGGCGGTTCTTCTCCGGGAAGCGTGGCCCGCCGACGTCGTCAACGTCAACGATGGCCAGCGGCGGCGACGACGACGAGGAGGAGGGGGCGTCGTCGTCGTCGTCGTCGGCCGACACGTCGCCAGGGCGCCACCACCAGGATCGGGAGGACATCGCGTCGTCCCTGCCCGTGTTCGTGTACTCCTCCTCCGCCGCCGCCCCCGACGTCGGCGACGCCGGGGGGAACGGGAAGGCGGCGGCGGCGGCGGAGTGCGCGGTGTGCATCGTGGAGTTCCGCGACGGCGACCGGGCGCGCCTCCTCCCCCGGTGCGGCCACCGGTTCCACGCCGACTGCATCGGCGCGTGGCTCCAGCTCCACTCCACCTGCCCGCTCTGCCGCGCCGCCGTGCTGCTCCACCCCGCCGCCGCCGAGCCGGCCAAGAACGATCAGCCCAAGGATGACGACTGCCCGGTGTGACGCCTCGCCGTCGCCGTCGCCGGGAGAGACGAGAACACAGCTATAGACGGAGGGTCGAGCGCGCAATCGATCGTACGCCGGCCGGGGTGATCGAGAACGCGACAAGCATCTTTCGGCGTGCATCGCTGTCCAAGATGGAGGAAATCAAGAAAGGTTGGTGTCGGTGATGACTTATGAGTTGAGAAGACGCGAGGTTTTGCTTCCACTCGTACGGCCGTTTTTGTTTTCTTCTTCTCTCCAGCTTGTTCTTTAATTTGTTGTTACCTACCCTAGCTGCTTATATTGTGTGTGATTATATTGTGTGTCCTCATCTGTGTGTGTATATGATTGGAGCTGTGTGCTGCTATATAGTATAAGAGTTTTGTGTATAGAAATCGATCGATCTGCTGCATGCATGCATATCGGATAGAATTAGTATGTACTTTGTAATAAAGGTTAATTACTCGTAGTTGAATGCATGTAAGAAAGGAGTGAAGAGCACTACCGCAAGATCACCTTATTACCCAGTTTGTAACTGCAGCCCGTTTTGATTTTTCAAGCTAACTAGCTTACTACGGATGATCCTGTTAATCTTGTGGTTAATTAATTTCGAGATACACTTCGTAGTGTATTGCTAAGGGATGTGTGGTTTAAACCTCAAGGATTCTGTCTTCAATCCCTAACATGCTTATAATTTTTTTAAAAAAAATATTTGGAGGGACGTCTCTTCCTCTAAATCTCTTTTTTTTCCTAATAAATTAATTTCACTACGATGATTGTAGCTAGCCGATGCCGAAAAGTTGTAGTGAAACTTTCGCTTGAAAAGAAAACACAAAGATGAATACTAGAGATGAGCTGCATCTGTCTTATTAGCCGTCAAGCATGAAGGCGAGCATCTGCCTCTTCTGATCGATCAGTCGTACTGATGTTGAAAAACCACTTCCAGCACGCAGTATATAACGACCCTACCTCTAATAGTGTATCACTAATATTAATGCAAAGCGATCAACTTTGTACTCAGCTCGAAAAAGGGTACCAACTGAAAGATGCCTGGATCGATGTACGGAGACAGTGAATTCGCTTACCAATTAAAGGCTCGGTTTTGGAACATTATCCATGCATGGAGAGCATATTTGTGACCTAACATTCACCTTTTCTTTCCCTACGTTAGTGTTCGGATAAGATGCCGGCCGGGGCCGTACAATTAAGAATGTTGCTGTATTGATCTGATCATTCTTAAAGAACAAGGCATCATATCTCTCTTGAAGGATGAGTTTGACAAAGACCAAATTAAAAAAAAACTTCCACTACAATCTTAGCTATGTCAAATAACTCCATGTTTACTCTAATAAGCATTATATATTAATTACTAGATGACTTGAATTTGTTTAGACAACCCAAGAAAAAACATCATATATAATATATAGTACTAAGGCAAGCAAGAAAGGAGGCAATTATAGGGCATAATTTATTTAGAAGAAAAATGTGAGAGGCATCTATATATAAAACCAACATTTTGTGAAAGCGCATCAGTGCATCACAATGTGAATATATTGGTGTAAGTGGTACTTTGACTAATGGTTGGTCAAAATTTACAAAATTTGGTCTATTCAAATCAAAACATGCTTGTGAGACATTTCAATTCGCTCATAACAAGAGAAAATAGAACACATAATTTTTGTAGTAGTATCCGAGGAGCCCCGCTACTGGCCGTAAGTACAACTGTTAGTGTATTTGAAAGATTTTATATATGACATTTTGTGCAAGCAGTTCAGTCCAATTATTCTATTAGTCGCCGACGTGTTATCATCGTCGTAAATATTGAAATTTTAATCATATACTAAATACCTGCGTTAGTTTTATTTCTAATGGCAAGTTTTATTTAACACAAAATTTCCATATGATCATTGTAATACTATCTACTTATAATAATCAAATTTAGACATTTGTAGTTAACCTATACAAGCTTTTATTCCATTAAAAAAAACATATAGAAGCTTCCTCAAACTGTCATAGAATTGATGATATGCTGATAGGAGTATCAGCGAATAGATATGCTGATATATATCAGGAGTTACTTTCGATAGAAGTGACGAGTTACTTTCGATAAAAGTGAGACACGATCGGAAGAAATGTTGGATCCTTTTTTGACGAATAGTACCAAGTAGTAGTAGCTAGAAAGTCGACACCCAGGGCCACGTACTATATATACTGTTCTCGTGCAACAATAGCTGGTAGCTCCGTTGAATCAGTGGCAACACTATCAACAAGATTGCACAGAGATCGGCAGAAGCCGTGTTTAGTTTTTTGGCCAAAATTTTTTTAAGTATATGAACATACATTTAAAGTATTAAATATAGACTAATAACAAAATAAATTATAGATTTCATCTATAAACTGCGAGACGAATTTATTAAGCATAATTAATATGTCATTAGCAAATATTTATTGTAGCATCAAATTATGGCGCAATTAGACTCAAAAGATTCATCTCGCAATTTACATGTAAACTGTACAATTGGTTTTTTCGTCCACATTTAATGCTCTATGCATGTGTCTAAATATTTGAGGAGATATTTTTGATCAAAAATTTTTGGGATATAAACACACCGATACTACAGCTCAGCTCACACGCATGGTGCATTCTCTGCCGTGTCTTGTCACATTCTTTTGTGTGCTTTTACGAAAATTCTTCGCTCTTTTTCTCAGAGAAAGGTGCAAACTTTGTTTCGAGTATAAACCTTTATCGATCGGTTTATCTACAACCAAAAACTAATTTGTAATAAAAAAATTATATAGCTGTTCTTAGTAATTCAAAAGCAAACGCTAGAAGGTAGAATAAGGTGAGAAAAAATAATCCTAAAATCAACTTAGTTTCATTAAGCTCTAATACTTTATATTTTTACTGCAATTTATAACACTACCAGAAACTTAACTAGCCTTAAAACGCTGAATTTGTTTTTTTCTCACAATTTAGGGCTGTTAGCGCTAGTTGAGTTTGTGGTAGTGTAATTAGCTGATGGATAAACGATGTGAGTGTACACCAAATTATACTATCTTCTTTTTAAATATATGACACCGTTAACATTTTATTTTTACAACCTTAACCATTCGTCTTATTAAAAATGTTATATAAATGTTAAAAATATAAGTACTGCTTATACTTTCTTTAGTGATAAATCAACTTTTCAATTTAAACTTCGACCATAATTACTCTTAAATTGCTAGATCAAAGTGAACAAAAGTTGATGGTTATCTTCAAGGACATAACATGCTTTAATTTTAAATCATCTATTTCTAGTATTCGATATTGAGTGATTAAGTTCGAAAGTAAATAATATCTGCTGACAGTTAAGTAGAAACGGAGGGAATATTATAGTACCGAACACCACCATCGATTCAGATATATACTACCTCCTTTTTTAAATGTTTGACGTTGGTTAATTAGTTCGATTTTAAGCTAACCAACATTAAAAAAAAAGAATGGAGGATCGAGAATATATAACAGCAAGCTTGCTCAAAGAATGGAGAGAGTATATAACAAATTATTATAACAGCAAGCTCACATGCAATGAACAGTTAGCATAATGTTTATTTATTGGCGACTAGCTAGGCATTATGTAATCAACATCTCGTCCTCGCGATTAGTCGACTACGGACGTACGTCGCCGTCGTCGCCGTGCGTCGAGCCTGGCCGGACACAACCCGTTGTCAGTTGTGCCTCCCTCGGATCGTACCGGTTCGTACGCCGACGACGCTGACGTGCAACTATATATATAGATAGATAGATAGATAGATATATCTCTTTTGACAATTCTATATCACGGCAAATTGACAATGACATGCACATACATGGATCGATGGTCGATCCCCGGGGAGGCAAAAGAATTGAAAGCTATATATGCATGCTACCGCTAGCTTATATAATTAATTTTTGTTACAACTGTAAGTATAGTACCAGTAACTACTACTCCCTCGGTCCCTCCGTCCCACAATACAAGGGATTTTAGGTGAATGTGACATATCATAGTCCAAATTTATTGTACTAGGTATGCTAGTATTATGGGACCGAGAGAATAGTAATAAGTATGCTATCGACGAATGAAAATCCTTTTATTTAAGATACATGACTTTGAGTTACTTACATGTAGGTCCTTTTGCTATATAGATCTACATGCCAGTGACCCTAAATTCACCTAACTTGAGGTAAATGATTTCAATCCGCTATTGATATGGCCTTCATTAGTACTTGTACATTGAAGAGGTTCAAGTAGCCCTCTGGAATGGAGTATTTTCATAGTAGTTTCAAAGCAAATGCTAAGTTAAATTTCCTGTCTAGGTTGTTAGGAATATAGGGATTGTAATCATATACCCTAATTCTATAGGCATTTTACACATGAGCTCCAACCTCATTTTATTTTTTATTTGAGAAGTCCAATGCTTCTTCTCTCTTTGTCTCTCCTCTCTCTAAAATCTATCCAAATTCCAAGTGTTATTCTCATGTTAGCTATCCAAACACATCATCTTGTAAATTTTTGTGTTTTATATTTCAACGGGATTCGCTTATACATGATATCGTTTTTTCTGTGTTTTTCCTATTAATATACCTGTATTTCTAAAATATAATCTTGTGTTTCAAAGAGGCCCTAAACTTTACTCAAGAGTCTGAAGGAAGTTTCTGATTTGATCCAAATTAAGTAATCCTCCAGTGGTTATGCAAAGTGCTTTTGCCCGTATGGCGTGCTGATCCAACGTTTTGCCATGCATGTCACTATACCTATCATATCACTATATATTCAAATAAAAGAAAACATAAAATGAGCTATATATATGGCTTCAAAAAATGACTTGTGAGTAAAAATGAAGCGTTATCTTAGCAACTTTTTAGTGCTATTTTTTTTCTTGTTTATGTTGGTTGGTATAATCATCTCTCCAACAAAAAAATATATATCAAGTCAAATGCCAACAAGGAAAAAAATGATTGGATCAGCACACCATGTAGCTAAAACCACTATATATGTGGTTTAGTTCGTTTGCTGTACAGATTATTGGGTAAATTTCCTTTGGGGGAGGGCGTACTTGGACCTTTTAGACTTCGATATTTTATTTCACAAAAGTTTTTGAATAAGACGAACGATCAAATATGTTTAAAAAAAGTCAACAGCGTCAAATATTTAGGGATGGCGGGAGTATATAATATAATTTTCTTAATCTCAAATCTTATTTCCTCTGCTTCGTTGTCGAGGGGCACGTCGCCTACCACTGAAAGTACAAAGCCGTTAAATCCTAAAAAATTCGCTCACATGAGGAGTCAAACCCATGACCTATAGTGTTGTTGAGGCTCTTGTAACCACTAGCTACGATACATGCCCTTTCACAAAGGGAGCATTATTTTTTCCTACTATATTATATTAATTAGAGTAAATTTCACTTTGGTCCACCTAAAGTGACCAAAGTGGCACATTGAACTATGGCTAAGTCTATATTTTTCAGTTTGCACCACCTATGTTTACCAACCATTGCAAGTTGCACTGGGTTTTGAGTCACCTATTTGTTTTTGCCCG